CACAGGTTTTGCACAAGTGTGACTATTTTGTGTTATGGTTACAACCTTTTTAAATCAAATAGTTACACCAGTACAACTCCCTGAATGGAGCCAGTTATACTGGCAAAAAGGTGCCTTAGAACAGGGTTTTTCAAACTTTCTTTCTCAGGACCCAGTTGAAAAATAATATTGTTGATGCCTACAATCCAATATCATTTTATCTTTTGGCTAGAGTATTGGCTCTGGGGTGTGGGAGCGGGCTCTGAACTGGGACATGGGGTGGGATGTGGGCTCCGGGGTGTGGGAGCAGGCTCTGAACTGGGACATGGGGTGGGATGTGGGCTCTGGGATGGAGCAGGGAATAAGGGCTATGGGGTGCAAGACAGGCTCAGGGCTGGGGCAGAGGACTGGGACATGGGCTTGCCTCTGGTGGCTCCTTGTCAGCGGCACAGTGGGGGTTTGAAGACAAGTTTCCTGCCTGTCCTGGCATCATGAACTGCACTGCATCCCTAGAAGCATCCAGCAGCAGGTCAGGCTCTTAGGGAGAGGCACAAAAGCAGCTCTATATGGCACTTCCCATTGGCTGGGAATTGGTCAGTGGGAGTGTGGAGTCAGTGCTTAGGGTGGAAACAATGCAATGGGACTTGGGGCCTTCCCCCCCCTAGGAGCCAGGCCAGCTGCTGGCCACTTCTAGGGCACTGTGCAGTCTGCAGTGCCAGGATGGGCAGGAACCCTGCCTTAGCATCTCCACTGGTCACCCTACAGTAGGGGTAGGGAATCTTAGGCCCATGGGCTGGATGTGGCTCTCTGCTTGCCTGGATCCGGCTCTTGAGGCTCAGGGCCCCCCCCATCGTTGGGAAGCCCACGCTGGCGCGCCATCCTCCCTGATTCCCCTCCCTCCCCCGGGGATGTAGCACACACAATCTACTAGCCTGGGCCCCCCTAGGTTCTGGTGGGCAAGGGGAATGTAGGGAGTGTCTTTCTCCTTCTCAGTTGGGGGCCACAATGAGGATTTTTTTCCGCTTCTCACTTATGTCCAGCCCCCGACTAATTTTTCTGTGGATGAGAGGCCCTCAACCCAGAGACGGTTTCTCACCCCCAGGGGCAGACTTGCCTGGCAGGATACCGGGAATTTCCCGGTGGGCTGTCGTCTGAAGGGCTGTGTGATGGGGTGATATGGCCCCGCATTCGCGGCCGGACGAGCGCAGACATGAAGCCAGGGCCGCAACTGGTGGCCTGGCAGCAAGAAGCGGGGGACGCGCTGGAGCAAGCGGTGTCCACCGTGGCCGGGAGTAAAGGGGGCGGGGTGGGTGTGCCTGAACGCTGCCACAGGGGGCAGGCTGGACATGAGGAAACATCCGGATGCCACGTTAAGGGGAGGACCAGGGAATGACGCAATGCCCGGACACCACTGCGAGGGGTGGGGTGAGGAGAGGAGAAAGCGGGCCCTTCAAAAGGGTACCGCCAGTGCACAGTGGGGGGAGGGAAGGAGGAAGGTAAACAGGAGAGGAGCGAGCCAGGAACCAGGGACTCAGGGAGGGGCCAAGAGGAAGACCCGTCGGTAAGATGCCAGGAGGAGGAAATGGAGTGAAAGGAAGTAGCCCAGGATGGGGCCGGGAACAGAGGCCTGCAG